CTTCTTTATGCACCAAGAGCTTGTAACACTCCAAAGAGAAAGGAAAAATTTAAATCGCATCATATGACCCCTTTGTATTGTTGTTTAGTCTGTTGTTTCATATACTGTATAACAGCTGTTACAGTTAATCTGTATGAGAAAAAATAAGCATGAAATTATATATTAAAAAAAAACATTTAGCTTTTGTATTGCCATTGTATTAAAACCAAAAGAAGTAGTTAAAATATTTTCTGAAAAATATTAACTAGTAGTTTTGTTATTTATATTTATACCGTTATATTATGATTAGTTTGATTATGATTAGTTTTATTACTAATAATTTAATTATTTAAATTTACGTATTATTATTTTTAAGTACAGATATCTTGTTCTGACCTTTGGTTTCTCTTTCTGTAGCTTCACAATCTGCTCAGTCACTTGCCTTTGGAAGCTTCAATTCATCTGCAGGTAAATGCACCTCAATGTATGTTTTTTGACATATTACTAAACTGGTACAATTAATTATTGGAGAAGCCTCATCAGTTCTGACAAAGTGAATTGAACACATACAGTACAGCTTACAACTACCTGTGATTCTAGAATGTTTTTTTGATTGTTTAGTCTTTTGTTTCACATACTTTATAACAGCTCTTGTGTGTAAAGACATTTTAATTGTGTGAGGAAAAATGGCATGAAATTATTTTAAAAATAGCTTTTATATTTTCATTGTATTAAAACCAAAAGTAGTGATTAAAATATTGTCTGGAAAATATTTGCTAGTAGTTTTATCATTTATGTCTTTAAATTATTCTTTTAAGAACAAATATATAAACTCATAAAGACAAATGTCATATTTGAATATTTATTTTTATAACACATCGGATTCATTAACATTCAGTAGAAATTAAAGAATTCTAAAAACAGCTCTTGTATCTCTTTATATGGGGTGTGATGGAATGTATATTATAATCATAATTTAATAGAATGATAGGCAAAATGACATATTATTGAGGTCGGGCCTGTAGGTTTCCAGAGATGTTTTGGGATGTGTCTGTTCTTGGCTGTTTCTCCAGATTTGAATTTGTTCTGATCTTTAGTTTCTCTTCCTGTAGCTGCACAACCTGCTGAGTCGATGACCTTTGGAAGCTTTAATGCACCGTTGTTTGGATGGCTGCCAGTGCAAGGTAAATTTACCTCAATGTAACATTTTTGTGAAAGAGTAAAATATAAAATGTTTAAAGCAGTGATTGTTGTTTTTCATGACTTATTACAAAATTGGTTTATTTAATTATTGGTTAATTTAATTGTTTATTCTTTTAATTAATTTTTGAGCACTAAAGTTCTTCATAATATTAAAACTGTTATTTAATGCATCAGTTTAGTGTGATTAATTACAAAAAATGACAAGATAAGAAGAACAAGCTTCACCTTGAAAGATAAATTATATTGAGACTTTCTTCCGTCTGTTGCATTTTGTGTGTGTGT